AGGGATCCCTGAGGATCATCGAGATCCAGTGAGTGCCCATCTGGGGCTCAGCCCCCCAGCCTCGGTGTTTCCAGCACCGTGCTCTGCCCAGCGGGGCTCGAAGCTGCCGGTGGAGCCGCAGCCCGAGGCGACGCCTCCCGGGCCTGGTTTGTGTGCGAGTGCGCTGGGCAGCTCTGCAATTAGGGAGGTGTTATAAATAGGATGTGGTGGGTGCTGGGGCTGCTCGGCTCTCCCGGCTCTGCAGCCCCTGCCCAGAGCGGGCTGTGCTCTCTAATTTGCCGCCGGGCTGCCCCGCTGACGCCGGGCTGCAGCGCGGTGAGTGCCGGCACGGCCGCAGCGCCGAGCGGCCCGTCTGGGCTCCTCGGGATTGCGGAGAACTCCGTGTACCAGCGGAGACTGCGATCCCACCCTTTAGGCCAAGCCTCATCTATCAAAGCCGGGCCCAGAGCGAGCGAGAGGAAGCTCCCAGATAAACATACAGCAGCGCCTAAAGTCCTAATCACTCTGGGCTTCCGCTTCCAGGCCCTATAATTAGAAGTCCTTCTTTTCCTTGTATTCCCAGTTGACGCAAATGCTTTTTGTGGCTTGGCACCTCATTTAGGGCGTGGGCTTAGTTTATGGCCAGGCCAGAGTCTGGTTTAGTCTTCTGATACTGCATAAATAGCTCTTAGCCCACAGTCTACATCTGTACTGGTTTTTCCTTTTATGCATCTATTCCCGGTGCTTTTTAAACGTTTCTGTCCTGAAAGAAGCTTATTGTTTCCCAAACAGAGTGCAGGAAAAGTAGGAAGCTGTAAATTAGGGCAGGTAAAACAAAGCTTTGCTAATTTTTATTTTTTTTTCCCACCTAGGATATCTGTCTCTTTCTTTAAGTATGGATTTTAATAATCTCTGTGGATTTAAAGCAACCACACAGTAAAACAGCCATTAATTTATTCTGGCTGCACCCTCGTACTCTGGATAAGCAAAATCAGAATTTTTGCAGTGAGATGGGTTCTAAATAATGTCTGCTTTACACATAAATTTCCACTGGGTCCTGTGTATGCAAGACTTCCAATGGATTTCAGCTGTTATCTGTTAAACAGGGATTATTGCCAGTTTGAAAAATAAGCAGGAAATCCTCAAGAATTATTCACTTTTCATCTCTGATTATCCATCCATAAAGTACATCACAAGAGAAAACATTCTGGGCTGAACTTACGGCAGCTTTAACCCGTATTTCCGTCTAAACAACTTCTTGGGAGAACTGTCACAAGGTCTCTTAGAAAGCTGAGCTGAAGTTTCCTGCACTTGAAAGTGAAAGTGAGGTGAGGACCAGGACTCCAGTTCATGTTTCCCCGCCGGGGTTAGGCATTCCTGCAGGGAGATGGAGAGAGAGCAACAAAATGGCTGAGCTGTGATAATGGAAAACTGGGATTCTTCCGTGTGAAGTAACAAGGGCTGGAAAATACCAGGGCGAAACCCAAGCGCAGTGTTCTCAAGCAGCGGTGATTTATTGTTTGAATAACAGGGGTGAGGAAGACATTTCAAAATGCTGTTTTATAAATACACGTTCTTTCCCATCTGTGGTGTTGTGCTTGGGACCTCCGTGTTGATACAAGTCCTGCCAGGCTGTATTTGTACTTCAGATGCAAGTGTGGGTGTGAAAGGTCCTGCTTTAACTTACTGAAAAAGAGTTGCTAATACGAGCGAAGGGCCTCTTTGCCCTCGGCTTTCATCCACTAAAATGCATTTATTCCAAACAGGACAGGCAGCAGGAGTTTAGATTAGGCAAAATTGCCAGATCAGATACCACCCATCTTTCTATTTTTAAGTCAATTCCTTTCCACCCACAAATGTATTCTCTTTCACCTCTGGGCTCCTTTGGCTTAGCAAAGACAGAAAAAAAGACCCAAACCCCAAAAATTCAAAGGCAAGGCACGTGAGTGTGGAACCCAGGACTGTGTGGATCATCTGGCAGTGATCAGGCCCCGGATGGATGAGCCACGCCACGGCCGTTCGGGTCCGGGCTGTGAACAAACAGGTACCACCGTGGGCTTGGGGGGTTCAAGCACCACAGGTTGAGGCTCAGGTTAAACAGGGGTTTATGGGTTTGGGGGAAGGGCTGTGGGGTGAAATTCTATCCTGTGTAGGCTCACTCGCCGCCCGCAGACACGTGCGGTTCTCGCCAGCGCTGGGAATGAGATCCCTGTTGGCCAAACACCGATGGGTGTGATGGACAATGCAGGGGGGAGTGCCGGTGTTTTCACTGGCAGCGTTTTGTCCCCCGTTCCAGACAGAGTTTTGGCTTGTTTAAAGGTTTTTTTATTATTATCCTCACACTGTGCCGTGGGGTGGGATCCCACAAGGAACCTCTGCTGGGATCTCTGGGTGCACTCAGCCCTGTGTCTGGGTTTATAAAGCACTTCTAGAGTTTTGGGGGAAGAAAACACCATCTGTGTTTGCTCAGGCTGGCTGCTCTCTGTTGAGAGAAGCCTCATGGATTCATCTCTTCCAGCTTCTCCAAAGGTCCTTTCCATTGGGAATGATGGAGAGCTCTAAAGGACCCAAAGCACACTGCACTTGTATATGAAGCTGTCTGACACGTGAGGGGATTAAAACACAGGAATAGGGAAAGCAAATTCTTCCTGGGTTGAATTAGACCTTTTGGAATATCCTTGCTCCAGTAACAGTGGCAGCCTAATTCCAGCACACAAACCCCTGTTTGCTTCCAGCTTTCTCTGCTGGAAATGTTATATATTATTGAGGACCGCACACTTCACTGGGAGGGAAGTGGAGTTTGTGATGTTGCAGAACAGAATTAATGCAAATTGTGTGCATAATCCCACACTAAAGACTTGGCTGACTCGCACCGGAGCAACTTTAGCTGTATTTCCTATCAACACAGTCACTACAAATCAAGGAAATTGCCAGTTAAGCCAACATTAACATCCAGACCAACCTCAGCTCACATGCCTTCCCGCCCAAACATAATACCCCGATGCACTCCCGGCTTTCTCAGCTCCATAACAAACTCCCTTTCATTTCCAGCGCCCGGGATCGCAGCCCCAGCCGCTAACAGTGAAAGTATGTCTGCTGGAGGTGCTCTTGTGAGGTCAGGATGCTGCGTTGGGGTGGCTGTGAGGAAGGCTCTGAGCTGTGTGGGTGGCCGCGCTCCGGCCCTGCCCTGCCAGCCTCACCGCTCCCGCTGAGGGGAGACTCGAAGGCAGCTCGGTCTCTGAGTGCCATTTGGGGTTCTCTGAGTTCGATTTGGGTTTCTCTGAGTGCCATTTGGGGTTCTTTGAGTTCGATTTGGGGTTCTCTGAGTTTGTACCTTGCTGCTGCTGGGCCTCACTGCGCTGAAGGGAGGGGTTTGCCCTCTGAGGATGCTGATCTCGTGAGGAGCCGAGGGGTGTTCGTGCTCCCACAGGGTCTGTAGCGATTCCACGTTGTCCCGGTTGGAGGTGTCGGGACTGGGCAGTGCCTCACGTGTCCCCACAGACCTGTCAGTGGCACCGGGAGGGATGTTGGACCCACAAGGTCAAGGCCTCCTTGGCCACTGAAATTTTTCCATCTGGGCTGAAGGGAAGGGGGATCCCAGGATTGCCAAGGAGGGAGAATGCTCCGGATACCGACCCAGCGAGGTAATGGTGGCCCAGTAGAAAAGTTAATTAATCTTTGCTGAGAGAGTGGTTCTCAGCTGCTCGACACACAAGAGGATTTTATCCCAGTTTAATTGTAAAATGTTCCAAGTGTGGGACTTCAGTGGTGACGTGTGAGAGCTTTCCAATGTGTCCTGTCTGTACCTGAGGGAAAGATGAATCGTGGAGCCACGTGTAAATAACCCAAGGAAGCAAATGCTTTTTTGTGACAGCAGTGAGATAATCATTTATCCTCTAAATAGGTGTCATGTAAAACATGGAGATTGAGTTCTCTTCCTAAGGGATAAAAGATTTCAGTTTTGCCTTATGTGGAGAATCATCACAACAGAGCTATGTGGGAATTCCTGGGTTCCTTTAATAGATGGGTTCCTTGAAAATGATTTAGAATGTCCCTGTTAAACTGCTAAAACCGTTTGTACTTGACATTAATTAAATGCCAGAGGATTACTTTGGGTGATAACTTATTAGATTTCATTGATAAGCATGGTACTATGGACATTTTTGTACAGAAAAATGAATCTGAAGTTTGCTGACATAGTTCTGTGTTCTGCCATGATGCTGCACTTTTCTTATATGTACAAAAATACTTAATTTTTGGTATAAAATCATGCACTTTTATGGCAAATTGACTTCAAATATGTTTGTAAGTGTTTAAAAACTGGATTATGGACTGACATGCAGTGGGAGAAAAAAGTAAGTAACAAATACAAGTTACTGTGATTCTGCTGATCTTTTAATGGAATCATTTCAGTACCTCCACCAGTGACCTGTTTTCAATGAAGTTAATACCTAATTTAGCATTTCACTTGAAAGCTCTCAACTCTGATTTGTTGCCTTTCACCAATAAATCAGACAGTTCCTTTCATTTATAAGAAAGATGCTACTTCAGGATTGGTTCAGTCTGGGTTGTTTTGGCTGGGTTTTGATAATGTCTCTTCTTCCAAAAATTGTTATTGTGGAGACATCAATCTTGCCTAGGGAAGAGCATTTTGGGGTTTTGCTGTAACATTCGTCATTTCAATGCTTCATATTGGTCACACAGTTCTCAAATTTAGTTAGGATATTCATCTTATTCAGTTGTTTTATGGATTTGTGTTGTAATACTATATTAATGCTTTATAAGACATTAAGTAGTAATACTGTGAATATGATTTCAGCTGAAATTCTGATTCATGTTTATGGGGTGAATCCCTTGCAATTCACTAATTTTCTGTCTGTTTTCTCCTGTTTCCAGAAACCCAAATGTAAACCACGCTTGCTTTTTTAGATAGACATTTCAAACCTGTTCTTTTGCAGTGATTAATCTCTTGTACTTTTGTGTTTCTTTTTTTTTTATTTTTTTTCTTTTTTTTTACCCAGGGATGTTGCTGGTCACCACTGACACGTTAGGCCATGATTTCCATGTTTTCCAAATACTGACACATCCTTGGTCATCATCACAAAGTGCCGTCCATCATTTGTACACACTTCACAGGGGAGAGACCGAAGCCAAAGTAAGTCAAACTCTTTGCTGGAGAATAATCCCCAGACACCTTATACATTCTGTGTATGTTGGCACTTTAATGTTTGTTTCAGCACACAAAGAGCCTTTCTTGTGCTCCAGCCGCAGAAGGGATAAGAGCAGAGCGTTTAACCTGGACAAGAATAAATTCTTGCCCTTTGCAATGAGGTGCTGTCAGATTTATTCAGCTCTGGCACTGCCTCCAAAGGGCCCCGATTATTGGCTGTGTTTGCACTTAACCTTTTCTCATGTAACATGTTCTGCATTTGTCTCGTGCCCGTGAAGCAACTGTCAGGCCCTGCTTGGCTGTGGTGGTAAAAGCCACAGACAGACAATTGAAGAGTTGAAAGGAGGACTTAATCAGAGGGCTGCGATGAGCTCCTCTGGGCAGAGCGGGGCAACCCACGGCGAGCCGGGTTCGACTCCCCCGCTGAAAAACCCCACCCTGAGAGAGGGAACACCGAGTTAGGATGTTAGCCAGGGGTGGGCAAGTCTGCAGAGATACTCTAAACAGTGCCCAGTGAGCTGATTTTCTGACAGGGTGGGGGACAGGGAGCTGCTCTTGCTGGCACTGCTGTGGCTGGCGGGCTCTGCTCGAGCCCAGCATCGCTCTCGGGCACCCCACCTTCGTAGCAGTGAGTAACTGCTGAGGAACCTGCTTTAAATACAGAAATAAAAATGTCACCACGGGGGAAGAAATGAGTATTGCACTCGCTGATGCAATTACACACTGCGAGCACGGGCCTGTGACAGCCTGGCAGATGTAAAGCAGTGTGACAGGGAGAAGCCTCGGGCGCTGTGATTATGACCCTGGCACTGGGAGCTGGCATTAATGTGGTACCCCAACTACACCTCCTTCAAGCCTTTTTTTTTTTTCCTTCCTGTGAGTTGTGCCATTTCCCTTCAATTCTTTGCCTTTGTAACAAGTAGAATCTGAAAACCCTTATTGCACGTAGCAGTGGTTGATAATGTTTCAATCTATGTGAATTTAATTTACTAATGGCTTAAGTTGAGCTTTGCTGCTGCCATTCTGAAGAAGTGTAATTGCTGTTATAGGTAGTGGTTTACTATAAGAAGGAATAACCCATCTGGAAAGTGAGAGGAAATTAGGAAAAACTGTGCCTATGGGATAATATATATAGTACTAACAAGTAATTTTTATCAATAATACACAGAGCAATGAGATCTGTGTGTATACACACATTCTGTCATCTGCTTGAGCCTGTTCTGTAATGTGTGTAATGTTTTAGAGTTATTTTTGTTCTCCTTTCATACAAAGGCTCAATATTGAAAACCAAAGCACAGGACTCCAGTCACAGGGAACAAAGATGTTCTTCTGGTTTTTACAGCTGATAAATTTGTTTTCAAGGCACACATTGGAAACCAAACAGAACGTGTCTTAGAGAAGAAACCCTTATTGATACACTGGTTTTTGGGGTATAGTATTAGCATCTCTGTGAAAGCATTGCATTAAAATTCTCAGAATCAACATAGTAAAATTTTTTCCTAGTTTGCCACACAGTTTCCATTTGGGATGTGAACAGTATAGCTTTTGGAATGGCGGAAAACGGGGAAAATTCTAACCAGTCTGAGGTGTGTTGGTGGGTTTCACAGCTCCCTGGATAATTAAACAATATTGCATTGGTACCTGTGATCCTCAATACACATCATTGAAAGGATTTTACATAATGTGATGAGTTGTTTTACTTTTTTCTTTTGGAATGAAAGTATTTGTAGCTGTTTGGTGAGAAGAGCAGCATGTGGGGCTGCTCCTTTGTTGTGCAAGTGTCATGTATGAGTAGCATTAGACAGGAATTTTGGAGACTGTTCAGTGTAAAATCCTCAATGCAGATATTCTGTGGCCCACACTGGGAGCCTCTGTACCTCCTTTCTGGTTAGAACAGTGTTTACACGTTTGCCACCAGACCTTTTTCCTTTTTTTCCCCCCCTGGTTTAAAGCTGACTGTGAATCAAGGCCAATGGTCTTAAAGGTCACCTTCTGTACTGGAGCTATAAAAAGTTCTAATTTGTGTTGATGGACATGAGTGATTATCAGTGTCAGAATTTGTTTAGCTAGTACCCATTATAAATTGGTTAAACATCACCACTGTGCCCGTGTTACATGTGGGATTTTAATGGCCCTGCTGAAATCCTCTGCTTTGGTACATGAGATTCTGGCTGACAGAGCTTCACCCCACGTTCCCAAAATCTCCCTCTTTCACAGGCTTTTTTTGGCTTTGCTATCCGTTAGTGTTTTTCTTGCTCATGCTAATTACTGATAATAGAAGACCATTCAGTCCATGGACAAAGAACTGGTACATGGGTGGTGTTTCTCCACCTCTCAGGTGGTTTTCTGTGGCTGGGCCTGAGCTCTGCACACACAGGAGTTTCCATGGGGGATCACTGCTCCTGCACAGCTGGGCTTCACATGGAATGCACTGGGAGACCAATTTATCCAAGGCTTGTTAGGTCTGCAGTGTAACACAGGACAGGCCATTTTCACTCTTGGGAACCAGGTTTATTGGTGTGAACTGCAATTTCCCCCAGTTTGGAATCCCAGCCCTGGAACATCCCTGGTGGCAGGACTGCAGAATTCCTGGTCTCTGTTCTACCTTGGCTTCAGTGCTCAGAGGGCAGAGCAGGAGCTTGTGCTTCTCACGTGTCTCCTAAGAGAAAGGGACAGGAAGTCCCCTCTGTCATTCCTGAACATCCGAAGTGGATTAAGCTGGAAAAGAAGCAAGTGCTGTGACGTAATAAGGGTGTTTTCTGATCAATGATTGCAGTCAAGCAGTGTCTCCACGTCACCCATGTGTCAGCTGTCAGTGATCTTCATTTGAGGGGCCTGTGGGGTTTCTGAGCCTCCCCTCCCCTTGCCACGAATTCAGCACGAGCAGCAGCGTTATTGCTGTCCCTCCACAAGTGCTGTTCCCAACACAGCTTTCCTTTTCTCTTCCTGGATGCCTTGAATGAGGAACCGGAGCGTTATTGAGTGTTAAAGTGCTGTTATTGCAGATGATGTTGTGTTGGCTGACACTGAGCAGCAAACACAGGAAGAAGCCTTTTGTGCTGAATCAAACGTCGGGTCGGGACTGTGAAGATCGGTCGCTTCCTAAGAAAGCCCCTTCCACGTGACTGGGATGAAGATGGGGCAAGATGGAACAGGGAGCTCTGCCTCAGAAGGGAATTGCAGGGACAATGGCCATGGAAGGATGTGAAGAGCTCAGATAATTCACTGGTTGGAGCCATGCAAGTCCCAAGGTCACAGCGCTCAAAGTCACTTTTCTGCAAACACAGGCAGAAGTCACTGTTTCGGTTACATCAGATTAGGATCTTTTTTTTTTTAATCCTGAAGTGCCACTTACACTTTAGATTTTATATTTTTTTTCTCCCTCAAGAGGACAAAAAGCAGCATGTTTGAGGCACTGAGTAACACCAGGAAGGCCACTTCAAGTGCTGGTTGTGTTCAGCTGTGCCAGAGGGAGAACTGAAGCTCTCAGAGGATCCACACTAGGACAGTTGAGCTGCAAAGAGGAAAAATGTGCCCGTGGATGTGGTCAGGAGTACCTTTTGTTGCCTTGTGAGTCAACACCACACTCGTATTTTTCCCCAAGAGCATTTTGGAGGGTTTTTAATGAAGGTATAGCATGTTCTGAACTGAGGAAGCTCATTTGCTTGCAGATGAAAGTTAGAGCGTCACCTGATGATGCTCCCCCTTTGATCTGAAATTGTAAACAGAACAAACCAAGCCCCTGAAAACACAATTATCTCAGCCCAGAACAAACAAACGCAGCGATAGCATCGGCGGGCCCACGGCCAGGGCCCTGGGTGAGCTCCTGCCCTGCCAGGGGAGCTCCTGCCCTGCCAGCCTGCTGGCACTCTGACCCTCAGCTGCTGCTCTGACCCACCTTGGTGGGCACAGGGAGCGAGGGAACATTCCAGCTCCGGCTGCCACCGAGCGATCCGACGCCTTCCCAGGGAACGTCTCTGTGATTCTGCAGGGACCGAGCGAGGCTGTGTCGTGTCCCGGGCCCAGGGACTGAAACTCTGGAACAACTCACACGGCCAAGAGAAATTCCTTCCTGTCTTTTGACAGACAGTGGCAATTATTGAAATAGTCTGTGGAAGAGAGACTTTCTAATTTCTAGGAAATAAGCTGGGGACAGACTTGAAATAATAAAGATTGATTTTGGCAAGTTGATCAGTCTTTGATGGGAGCAGAGGAGAAGAAGCTGCTGCAATTAGAAGTAGCTTGAGTGCCTTGAGGAGCCAGAGCTCACAGCAGTTTCGGTTATTAATAGGCAGCTCTGCTCTGGCTGAGGGACCCACATGAACCATCTCCCTGTGCCCAGGGAGAAACTGGAATCTGAAATCAGTTTTGAGGACTTGGGGAGACAGAGTTGGGTCTGTGTGGGTCTGATAAATCTTATTGTGTAGCCCGTGATTTTATTATTTTTTCATTTGTGTTCGTTGCTACATCATTTCCTTAATTTTCTCAACCAAAAAAATTCACGTACAGGCCAGTTTTCTAATTTATTATGACCCTTAGCTCCTCAGTACTGCTGCTCTTTCTCATTGTTAATGATAGTGGTTTTTTCTTTCTGCCATCTCCCCGCACAGCATAATTAAATACTTCAGTCCTGTGCTTCAAATAACGGTGTGTTTTCTCCGTGACACGGCACAGTGAGCATGAACAGGTCAAGTTCCTGCCACAGCACTGCTGGTCCTTCCTCACTGTTGTTTCAATTAACTATCAAAGTTTAATTAAATGCAGTGAAGTGCACCAGAATATACAGATTGCACCTGGTGGAACTCCCCACAACTGAAAAAGGGGCGTTAGGGAAAAAAAAAACCCACAAACAAAGAGCTCTAGGAAGATCAAAATGTGTTTTATTTCTTGCCATTATTATTAAAAAGCATCGGGTCAGTGTTGGGAGCTTTGTTCTCCAGCTGTTGGGTGGTGCAGTTGCATCAGGGCTGGATTTGCCTGGGAGGTGCTGGGCCAGCCCAGTAAAGCTCCTTCTCCTTGCTGAGAGAAGAAGTGCCAGGACTGCTGCGCTGCAGGCGGGGCAGCTTGGAGCGGGTGACCCCCTGTGGCCCCTTCCAGCCTGACCCACTGGGTGGTTCTGTAATATCAGACGTGATTTTTGATCTGTGCAGCCTGGAAAGCTGAGCTCCAGGAGGGCTGGTGGCACTTGATGTGTCCTTGTAGGACTCCGTATATTAAATTACCCGACTGTCTCGCTCGGGGCGGGCTCTGAACGTGGCAGCTCCATTTTAATTCAGTTTTCTGGAGGATTTGACATCAGAGTGTTGGAAACACGGGGAAATAGGATAGTGGAAGGTAGAAGGATAGAAGAGTGATTGAAGGAAGCTGAGGGTGGGACTCACAGGTTCCTTGGTGTAGGCATGGGCAGATTAGAGGATGCACCTTCTTGTCCTCATAACATTCTGTGGTTGCTTTAAGTGCCTTCCTTTGGGCCTGAAGAGGCTTTGGTGTTTCTAATTAGGACTTGAAGTATCCAGGGATTCCACGGAGACTTTTGGATATGCAGGAAATGTAGTGTGAAGCTTAAGGGACCAAACTGCTCCGAAGAAATGGATGTAAAACTGGAGAGGGCACTGATGTTCCCACAAAAGGATTTAGTATTGCAACTGAAAATACCTTAAGGGTTCCCAAGTTAAACAAAATCTCAGGTCTGTAATTCCCTTTACTGCTCCAGATAGAGGAGGGTAGATAAAATTTTGAATTACAGACGTGAGTATTAAATGTGGTGTTGACCTTGAGCTGTAGAATAAGCTGTGCACCATGAGAGATCTGGTGTACTTTGTGCTTTATTAACATGTATCTGTAAACACTAAGGGGTCTTGATTGATCTTTGGTATCTAAACATTACATCATAATTAACAACAAATCCAGAAATATATTCTAAATACATGAAATAATAGTACATTAACCTAAAGGACAGCAATAAATTGCAACGCTTAGCATAAACTTGAAAACCACTAATGGGCCACTGTGCAGTTTGTTTATACTCTGAGCTGTCAAGAACTCTGCGTAATGTACAGGAGCAGCGTGGTGGAAAATTTATAGGGTTTGTCATGGACACACACAGCTGATTTTTTGGAGTAATTTCTGAGCATTCTCCTCTCAGCCTGATGCAGTGCCTGCTGGAAGGTTCTGGGCTCCTTCTCATCACACAGGTGGGTTGGGGCTGGTTTGTTATCAACGTGTTTCACTCTGCCCTTGGAATTGGAAATATTCCCTGAATTACCTCCTTGAATTTCTGTGGTAAACTCATCATTTATCTGTGGAGGACAAACAAGGCTGTGTTTGACACCAGAGGAGAGAGGTGGAATCACTGCAAGTGCAGCAGCAGCTTCCAGGGTACTTTTTGTCACTGCTGAGTAGGGTTTCCTACCTCTGTTCCTGTAAATCTTAATTCACTGCACACTTGTCTTGTCAACACTCTTTCCCCCTGTTATTGCCATTAGAAGCCTCTGTGGTTTCAGCCACGTTGGCAGCAGTTGTGGCCATGAGACACCCCCAGTGTTTGCGAGGGCTGATTCAAAGAGAGCATTTTGGGTTGGGTAGTTCCACGCTTTCTTCCTGTAGATCAGGGATGCTTTTTCTGTGTGGAATGTTTACACTGAGAAAAAAAAAACCCAAACACATCCTGTGGTGATTGTTTCCCAGTTTCTTGGCTGGGGTTGTCACATGCCAGGGCCGTTGTGTGTAGTTTTTACAGCAGCATAACCCTAGGATGCCAACTGGAAGGAGCATTAAAGTAGAAACACACATTCCTGTTGCACAGTAGGGTGAGATGTCATTTTTTTCCCTCTGTCATCTCATGGCTCTGTTGTAACTGAGGGTGGCAGTTTGTACACAGCTCCTGTGTTTGCTTTTGACCAGGAGAACGTGTCCCTTTACACAGCAGCCACTGGAATACCCTCGGTGCCGTCGTTTTTCACCACTGGGGGTTTTCTTTTTTTGGCCCTTGTTAATCCCCGAGGGGTCTCTAATCCTTTTTTGAGCGATCTGTTAGGGTGAAACACTTTGTAAGCACACTCAGAGTGCTGTGCCTGTAGGTCAGTAGGAGCAGAGTCCCAGAGGTGCCCAAGCTGTTGGGTTTTGGGGCCGGTTGGGCTGTGTGGTTGGTGGATTGCTGGGCTCTGTCACCAGGACTGAAAGGAGCAGGTGTGTAGCGCTGCTTTTTGCTTTATCTGTGTGATGTTGATGAAGCATTTTGTGTCCTTGACAGTCTGTCAGCCAAATATCTTGTCACAAGTCCCAAGACTTAAATCCTTTTTTTATCTCCAAGGCTTTGGGGGGCTCGGTTGGAAACTTGCACTTTTGATGAATACTTTACTGCTTTTGTCTGGAATAGCTGGAGTGCATTTCTGGAATATTTGTCAAGATTTTATCAGCATTTACTCCAATTTGAGTACCTAGTGTATTGTAAAACTGGCTTCACTGAAATCTTAAAGAATTTTATGGAGTTTATGCTGTTTAATAATATAATGAGAACTAATCCTTGGTCTGTATGTTTGTTTGCTGTGGTAAATCCCACTTGCGTACTGGTCCTTTTTAGTCAGCTTTTACCTTTAAAAACAATTCTGGAAGAAATGTTTTAGGACTTTTTTTCTCTCTATGATAAATCATTTTAACCTCCACTACTTGTTTTTTTGAGTTGTCTGCCAGGACCAGGCTGGAAACAAACTTTAATCTCTCTTTTCAAGCATTCCTTCAGAAACAAGAATTTGCTTTCCATCAAAGCGTTGTGTGTCAAGCACACTTAAAAGAGAATTAAATCCTTCTGGACTTTGTATCTGAGATCTGTGCAAGGAGTAACTGTAGTGGAAAATGTTTGACTGTATTTTTGTGTTTGCTTCAAAACTGGCCATTTTAAGCTAAAATAAGACTTGTGCCAGGATTTGTCAAAATCAGGCCCAGTGGTGAGATCGATCTCTCTCTTCCTTCTCATCCCTCCTTTTCCCCCTTTTTGGGCAATCTCTACAAATTAAACAAGCAAATGCAAAACATGTAATGGAAATGATTTCCCAGCTCTTTTTAGAGCTAAGTTCTATTTGAACATTCCACCAAGCTCTTGTGGCTTTCTGGGGCACTTTGCAGCGTGGTTTGTTTTCGTTAAGTTCGGGCCTGTTGAAAAGGAGGATCTCAGAAATCTTTTGAGAAGTGCACAAAATCTGGCAGTGGGTATTACACTGCAGCTTGTGTTCAGTAATAGATCTGATTTATATAAAATATGCTTTTATTCCCATTTGCAGTTAAGGTTTGTGTTGGTTTAAAACACGACTGTTTCCCACGTCAGAGATGGGAGCGCTGCTGACTCCATCCCACGTCTCTCCCCTGTTTTCCAGGTCCAGGACATCTCCTTCAGCCACGACTGCCGCTGGGTGGTGGTCAGCACGCTCCGGGGCACTTCCCACGTCTTCCCCATCAACCCCTACGGGGGCCAGCCCTGTGTGAGGACACACATGTCCCCCCGGGTGGTGAACCGCATGAGCCGCTTCCAGAAGAGCGCGGGGCTGGAGGAGATCGAGCAGGAGCTCACGTCCAAGCAAGGGGGACGCTGCAGCCCCGTGCCAGGCCTGTCCAGCAGCCCCTCTGGCTCACCACTCCACGGTAAGTCCACTTCTTTCCTTTCCTCCCTCCCCGTTACATCATCAAGGATCCCTAAAATAAGGTGCTGCAGGATTTGTGCAAAGATAGGTGATGCGTGCAGGTGTTACAGGAATGAGCCAAGGTGGAAACACCTCAGAAAGACGGTTCTAGTTTTGTAGCTGGAGTAAGTGATGCTGTCACAGATGTGGTAAAGATTTCCACTCTAAACTGAATGTTTGGGGGTCTTTAGGTCTCAAGTTTAGTTTCTATCTAGGTCAGTAATCTGGTCTGTGTTCAAATGCCATGACCTACAATTCTCATTGCTCATCAGCCTCGGTGATCATGAAGCACATCTGGATGTCTGCAATAAATGCTGCTCGAGGAGAAATGTGGAAACAAGGCAGTGGGACGTTGGTGGCACAGATTTTTGTCCGCTTTTTGTGTGTGTGTGTGTGCGACAAATAATGTGCAAAGGGAAAACAGTCTGTAAGAATTGACCTGTCCTTCCTGGTCCTGTGCTGGAGACACTCAGAGGATGTGATGGGGAGCCTCAGAAATGTTCAGAAATCAGCACTGTCACAGCTTCTTCACTTTTGCCTTTGCCATTCTTTCTGCCTTTCTCTTTCATGAGGTCTGTGCTAGAAGCCGCTTTGTTTGGATTCGGGATTTGCTGCATCCTTGTGCCTCCTTTCCAGTAAGAGTAAGTCTCTACATGGAAGTGAAGTTTAAATAGCAGTTTGTTAGGGGCACCCACCCTTTTCCAGTCTGAGAGTGTTCAAGATGGCCAGGAACAGTCCCTCTTCCCTAATTATGAGTAGGGTTGGTGCTCGTGAAAGCCCAACTCTGTGCTGGGCTCTCTGCTATAGAGAGAACCTTTGTGGGGATTCTGAATCAAAGGGACAGTTTTATGACTTGGTGATTATTAAGGGAACCAGACTTGTCTCAGAAGAAGCCTCTGTGTTTTCTCCTTTCTTTGGACTTTTCTGAACAAAGGTCTGTGCATGGCTGTTCTGGAGCCCTGCTCTTCTGCCTGGAGCCACTGGAAGGCACCCAAAACGTGCTCTGAAGTTTCCTCCTCCTTGCAGACAGTTGTGTATCTACCATTTGACTTTCTGTCGTTGCTGCAGAGCAGCTCAGCATGTCAGGCCTGAGCCAGGCCGGGGACTGCTAAAGCTTTGCTATGGCAAATCCCTTTTAACTGTTGACATCACACAGAGGAGAGGAAGGAACTCTCAATTTGTGTAGCTTTCATCCAGCCAATTCTGTTTTCTGTCAAGGGAAGCTGCAGTAAGTTGTTGCCTTCACAGAGCTCTGAGGGGGCATTTGAAGTTTTGAGTAGATTTGACGCTTCTTTCTGAAAGAAGACTCAGCAGTTTCACCTCCCCCGGCACGCTCAGTGGTGGGCAGGTTGTGGAGGCAGGAGAGTGGAGGCATGGACGAGTCACTGAGAGGAAGGGGAGAGCTTGCAGGGGAGTGTCTCAAGAGTTCTGAGACTTTGGTTGGCAAATGTCTCTCCTGAAAGATAATAAATCAGATTTCTTTCAAGATCTCTGTGCAACCATCGTTGCTTAGAAATGAGCTCTGTTTAAACAATCAGCCCTGTTGGGGGGCTGCACGTGGGCACGGAGAATCAGGGCAGGAGGGTGACTTTGACTCCTGGAGGACTTCACACAGATTGTGCTCATCACTTCCACGATGAAGGGCTGGGAGTTGGACACGGGCTAAGACTGTGTGCTGGTAACTCACAAACCTGCTTGTGAAAATTGTCCGTGAGAAATCTGTGGGGATTGCATGGAGGAGTTAGCAGAGTTGTCTTAAAAAAAAAAAAAACCTTAGGAAAAAAAAAAAGATAAAATTGTTTCATTTTAAAAAGTCCATTTGATAAAATATTGTAGTATTTTCGGTAATTTTATTGCTGCTTTTTCATTTCTGTAGTCTTCCAGTTTACCTGGCTACAGGAAGGCAGGATATTGAACCCCATTATGGGCTTTTTATAAAAAGCCATTTATCATCAACTTGTAAAAAAAAAACCCAACCCTGACTTTCAGCAGAGGGATTGTGTGTGTGTGTGTGTGTGTGTGTGTGGCAGCTGCATTAGCCAGAGACCGATGATTATTTTAATTTGTGAGCTAAGATGTGTTTACTCAGATTGTAACAGCTCCTTCCCATATTATAATGTTAAATGATTGTTGTTTGGAGGAGTTAGGACAGTCTGGTGACAGGAGTGTAAACCACTGCTCCAGAGAGAGAAGAGTTTCATTCCTTGCTTTACTTTTAACTCGCTCTGCAACTCTTGGTAAATTTTACTGAGCTGATTCTATCAACTTTCTGCTGTGTGACAGCAATAATAACCCCTGTGTTCCCCATGTGTGGAATTACTTTAATTTTGTAGTTTTCTTCAAGAAGAATAACTGTTACTTTCCTTGATCATCCCTCGAAATGCAGCTGATTATAGTGGAAATAAAACCAAAGACCATGTCCTGGAGAGAACCATTGCACTGGGACAAATTGTTGATTAGGTGACTGGTTCAGAGGAGATTGTGGCAAACTGGAGGATTTTTTTGTGTGTGTCCTTTGCAACCCAGAAAACTTTAAATAAACCCCAAGTTAAAAAAACCCTGCTGATAATCCTTCTACTAATATTTCTTCTGCATTAAAATATCGTTGCTACAACCTTGTGCCAAAAGAATGGTCTGCCATGCACAAAGCACTGGCTTGTTATCTTCTTTTTCTGATTAGCAGTCGTAACTTATTGATGGCAACTTGTGATTAGCTTTTGTTCTTGTAAATATTTTCAGAGTTCATGCTCTGTCATATTTTTCACCTCCCAATTTCAAACTGAAACTGTTTGCTGTGTATAGAGTAGCAAGGCAATCTGTTTACATTTCGTAGGAGCACCCCAGGAACTGTTTACCCACACAATGGCAGCCTTTGCTGGGGGTGGGGATGATTTCATTTCCAAATGAATCATAGCTGGGCTTTGTTCTTTTGAGCAGAATGAAGTAAACTGTTAAATAGAGGATGATAAAGAGGTATTTCCTTTGCACCTTTTATAGCCGACAGAGATTTTGTTTGGGCTGCTCTGTCTGTTAATCCAGCGACGTTGTATTTTTGTCATTCCTTTGGATTGCCAGAGTTGTCAGGAATATCTGAGCTAGGTCGGGATCCTTTTATGGGCTTTTACTATTATAAGACTGTTATGACATCAGTTGGTTGTGGGGTGAATATTAGGGTAGAATTTGGCCTTACATGACCTTTTGACTTGTATAAAATGGGGTTTATGGTTCTTACCTATCTCACAGGTATGACGTGGGGATTAAGGGATGAGTAGTAAAAGCAAAACTATGTCCTTGGTGAGGCAAAAGTGTCCCTGCTCTCTTCAGGACACCTATATGGGAATAGCAAAGAGCATTTAGCTGTTAAAATGTAATGCTTTACTTGGAAAATTGAAAAATATATATGTATATATAAGTATTTTTATTCTGCAGATTAAAATTTACAGAGTGTTATTATCATAACTTCTTGCATGACCAGTAAGTGAAATAAAGTCTCTGTAGCTCTGCTCAGAGTTTCTTTGTTGTTGGCTGCAGGAATATCCAGTATCAGAACTAATAATAATAATAATAATAATAATAATAATAGTAATAATACTGTAAGTTAAACACACATTCAACCTATGTATTCACACCTACTAAAAACATTCCATAATAATACGATACCCCCTGAATTTGTCTTGCGTTTTGTGGGGGTTTGAAGTATTTATTTGGATGCAGTAATTTTGCCAAAAAACTGTTCATAACACACCATGGGGTTTTTTTTCCAGCTTTAATACCGATGCTGAGATGGAGTAGATAAATTTCGAATTATGAAAAAACATGTTGTTCTGGATATAGTGCATTCAGGCTTGTATTTATCTCTTCATAAATATTTTAGTATGGCACGTTATTCTTTGCAAAATCTCCTTCTAATTTTAAAAAAATCAAAAGGTTTCGTCCCGCTTTTCCTTCGTTTGTTACAATCGCAACACGATTAAAATCCAGGCATAAAACTGGAAGTTTGATAAACATGCAGCCTGAGATGCTTTAAATATTTTCACGTTACTTTTCACTATTTCCCAGAGTGAAACTCCTTTTACTAGAAGAATTCTTATGGGAAAGCAGAGTTGAAAGGACTGACATCATCAGCCCTTCCTGAAAAACAGATTGGTTTCCTTTAAGTAACACTCACTTAAGAAGCCACCTATTTAGAGAGAGGCAGACAAAAATAGTTTCGAAGAAAATTAACTGTATAATAACTTAAAGCACCGGAGGGCAGTTCCTGCGCAGAGTTTAACTCGAAACGCTGTGAACACGAGCTGAAAACTGTTCTTTGAAAACTCTCTGTGAAGTTTCATTTTTCTCTTTGTAATCTGTAACGTCCCTCGATAAAAGCAGTTTTTAGAAATGTGTAAAAACAGTAAATCAAGCTGCAGCATCGACCCGTAGTTTTAATGTACTTTTAACGTTGGTTATTTGTGTATAATTGTTGTGATTCTCCACAGCATCGCACTCGGCTCTTTTTTGTATAAATGTGATTTCACATAGTTCTTTTTCCAGCTTTGATTCAAAACCCAGTTTTGCCCCTGAACGCGTCTCTCTCCTTATTTCTCAGCTCGGTTTTAGTGACTGCTCTTAAGCTGATCGCACTAATTTCTCCTTAAAACACCGTTCATCTGTACGAGTGTACCTAACGCTCCGCACCGGCGCGTGAAGCACTCCGAGAAGACACCCAGTCGAGCATGGTCTCTGTTGTGGATAATTCATATCGATTTCCAATCGGAAACCGATTATTTTGATTATTTTTTATCGATTTCCAGCTGGAAGCTCCCCCTGGTCCCTCGGTCCCCTCAGCGCTGCCGCCGGTGCCCGGTGTGGCCTGCAGGGGGCGCCCTCCCCCCGGGCATGGCGCCTCAGGCGGGGCCGGCCCTGAGGGGGGCCCTGTCCGTGACTGCTGAAACACCGCGGGTGAGGAGAATAAAACCT